AAATGCATAAAAACACTTTTTTCCATAAGATCTCATTCTGCGAAATATTCACACCTTAAATATATGCAAAAATCATCTCCACTAGCCAGGCACCATTTCAGTGCACTCATCAAGAATATAAGACCAAAATAATTTTGAGAAATAGAAATGGCACACAACAGCCAGTAGAGATATACTACCTATGAGATCAACCTCGCCAGGATATTGTGAAGCTTAATGAATTGTTTCTGAAGTACAGAAAGTAATTCAGATGATCAGCTCAATTCATTATTATCTTACCTTGACTTTGCCATATCGCCTTCTCTTTTATTTCAATAATGCATTTTCTTTAGAAAACCCCAAACTCTAGACATAGCCTAACAAATGATAGTTGGGATCTAGTGAAAGTGAATCATTGGAGAATAAAACTGTATAATGGCTGTACTGATCCTGCAGCTTTTTCCCATGCAATTTATTCCAACAGAAGTTACACATGCAAAAAGAATGAAAGACCAGGTCCTTATCTTCACAGATGTGATTTCTTATTATAGTTTCTGACATAGCAAAAGATGTGTAAATCAGTCTATAAATGGAAACAAATATAGTCTAGTCGATAAGCCTTGGGAGTGAAGAGAGTGGGGTTCCATTCCCAGCTCAGACAGTGATGTGCTAGGTGACCTGGAGCAATTCACTTAACCTCTCGGAGATTCACTTTCCCACTTCTGTAAAGCTGTGCTAATAATACCCACATGACAGGAATCTTGTCAGTCTGTATTCTTTAATGCTGATGATGTTCTTTAAGATCTTTGCATGGAAGATGCCACAGAGTTACTACTACTTTCATCAGACAGTGTGGTTACTATAATGTGTTCAGTGCCTCGGTGGGTTAACCTCTCATGTCTAAACACCAAAAATCCAATCTTGTTTTAAACATATGAGTGAGAACGGAATACAGTCATTTCAACAGTCATTTATTTATGCTCATCACAAAACCTTCACAACTTGAAATATTTTAGAATTATTGGAGAAGGCCTGCCCTGGTATGATGGACCGGGCCGAGTCTGGGCACGGCTGAGGGCCTCTGCTCAGGGTGAATTCCTCAAACTCGGGAACTCGGGGCTCCTTATAGCCCCTGACTACTGGAGGCCCTTCTCAAGTTGGCCACAAACCAGTCACACAGAGCACTTCAGCTGCCAATCTGGCCAGCAAGAAGCCTCACGAGCAAAACCCCTCTGACACCCTAGCTTTCCCTGTGCTCCAATCAGCCCGGGCCTGCATACAGGTGAGGAGTTATAGAACACAATCTCACCTATCCTGAACAGGTTCTTCTGGTCCCAAGAAACCAGCCACAGGTCCCGATCAGTTTACACTCTGGATCTTACCCACAAGACTACGCTGAGCCAATCATTTAGAATCTAAAGATTTATTACTAAAAGAAAGAAAAGCATGAGAGTAAGGTTGTTAAAGGATAATACATTACATGCATCTAATCACCCAGTTCTCGATAAAGGCTCTTAACAGAGATGTTACAAACTGCTATCCTATAAATCTCTGGTGTACATCCTACGTCAGGATGGGTCCATGGTTCTTCCCAGCTCGTTGTTGCCTGCAAGGCGGCATATGGGATCAGGAGCAAAACTGAAGACCAAGATGGAAGGTGCCACATGGCACTTATATCCTCTCCTGGCATCTTCCTGGCCAGAGCAGGTTACTGCACGTCACATGGTCATTGACCTAGCTCTGTGTCCCAAGTCAGCAACCATTATCCTGTCTGGCTTGCAGATATCAAGACATTCCCCAGGTGTGTCTCTGGCACTTAGAGATCTATTGTCTCTGGAGCTTCACTAATTAGCATAGCCACTGACTGAACATTCTATGCCCATTGCTCTGCCTCAGAGAATTTTCCAGCATCCATACAGATTACATGTTTATAACTCCACATACAGACATTATACAAGTACATGAATAGCATATACAGAATCAGTAGACTAGAAGGTTTCATGTGACATCTCACATGCCCCCCTTTGTATACACTTTGGGGGAAATATCCCCCTCCCCCCAATGATGCAGCAGTGATCTGACTGCTCCCCTTAAAATCCAGTAACGTGACACCTAGACTAACAGAGATATTGAAGATCAAAATTATAATATTTGAAGTTCGGTAGCAGAAATCTGCAGTGACCTGACTGCACTAGACAGAGAAGAGGGTTAAATGAGGTGGCTCTCAGTGGCTTACTGAACTGATAATTTTTTGTGGAGGCTGCCATCTCCTCTTCCAGATATTTTTTCTCTAACTACTATGTGGTTGTGAAGATACCCTCAGATCACATTTTGCAGGTTAAGCAGCATCATTCACTTTATGTGAATCTTCCGACAGCCTGAAATAATAACTCTGTGAGATGTATTAAACAAACCTCTTTTACGGGAATGTCAGCTCTGAAGCCCAATTAAGACAGTTTAAATGTCAACAAAATTAGAAAGTGGGATGATCTCATTCAACGCTGAATCCTGTCTCAAGATCTTCACTATCTATTGTGAACGGTATCTCATCATGGTACCATGAGTGAGCAGAGCTTTGAAAATTGCATCTTTGATGGACCATCTTTGATGGACCATCTTTGATGGTTGGAAATTTTCCATCAAAACTGTTTGGTTTTTGATGGAAAATGGGTCTTTGACTTCTGCTTCCCATGAAAAATTCTGACCTTTTGTCAAAAACTGAAAACATTTAGTTTTTTCAGATTTTCTGCTGCATATGGAAAATGTTTGATTTGGAATTTCTG